GGCTATCTGCTAATTTTTGAAGCAGCATATTCCTTTTAAGGAGATCAGGACTAATTCACTATAATTAAATTACAATGCTGATATTTGTGGATATAACAGACTATATATGATTTTAAAAAATGACAATCCTAATCATTTAAAGCAAATCAACCCAGGTGATATCTGGCAGTGATTCATCGCCTGTCCAGACATTAAAATCATTTGGAATATACCTATGCCCAGTTCCCACCAGGTGTTTTAGCTTATTTGATCTGGGAGTAGAGCCTGAGCATTGGATAGTTTTAAAGAAGCATTCAAGGCAATTCTAATAAAGCAACCACAGGTGACAACCTTTTAAATAATGTTTATGGAATTCAGAGGCCAGATTTTTTCTTGAACACAAATCAGATCAACTACTCAACTGAAATATAATTTTAAACTTTTTTGAATTTTAAAAATAACTGGGACAAAGCATTATGGCCAAAGTAATGCTTTGATATTGTTTTTAAAATATTAGGTCATTCTTTACTTTTATATTTTCAACTACACCATGGTGAGTGGGCTGTTTTCTTGGTTCTAAACTAGGGGGGAGTCTAACTTTACTTCTCTTGAGTGTATGAAAACATCCTCCTCCCTGACCAGATTTAAAACTTGACTGCATCACTCTGAAAAGTGAGAACATTTTTTTTATTATTCATTCTGCTTAGAAACACTAGTGAAAAACAAAAGCAAACTTTTCAAAGTACAAATACCTATGCTGTCTTTCAATTATGTTGTAATGAATTAGCCCTATAGAAAGTTCATATTTCTATAGGGCTAACTCATTACAGCAGGGTTGGAAGTGCTTAAGCTCTAGAGATAGCCCGCACAGTGTAAATAAAATTGGAGGAAGGATGAAGGAAGAAGCATATGAGAAATGAGAATGAGAAATGAGGATAATAAATGAGTGGGAAAACTGCAGAATTTAAAAACACCAATTTGGGAGTGTTTCAAGCTAAATCTCATTTTAATGAGAAAGTTTAATTTGGTACTTGATATATGTATGTATAGTTCATTTGGTGTACATTCAAAAATTTTTTGTGAATAAATCCTAAGCATTTCAAGGTTATTTTACTTGAATACTATAGCAATATCCTCCAAACTTTTTGGATATTTCTCACTAATTCCTTTATCCCCTGCTCCTCTTTCCCTAAATCAAAGAGATCTCTGAGAAAGGAAGATGAAAATCTGGTGATTCAGATAGTCCAGATATTCAGCAGACTAACTGTATGATTGAAGAATGGCCTTAATTTATAAAACTTCACATTTTTCTTCTTTCTAGTAGTCTAAGAAAAAAATGAATTTAGCAAGCCAAAGAGTAAAATAAAATATCAGTAAATGTTTACAAAATTAAAAACTAAGATTTCTCAACTTACTGTGCAATCTGGGAGTGAGATCTCTTGAGCCGCTGATCAGCACATTCAATAATTTCTTCATATGATGTAACCTTGAATAAATAAGCTATTTATTCTACAAATTATTCTTGGATTAATTCTAGAATTTTTATTTAATTTTATTTATTTTTTTGCTTTAAAATCTCCACTGGCTGAAGTTCAATTAAATGACTCCCATCAATGAAAGTTTTACAATAAGCAAAACATCTTCCTTCTATTTTGAAAACAAATAGAAATGGAGATTTCTGGCCAACATGGAGGCATCGGTAGACACACTGAGCCTCCTCGCACAACCAAGATAGGGACAACAACAATTTAGAAATAGAGTAACAACTAGAACTGACAGAAAATTGAACTGTATGGAAGTCAGACAACCAAGAAGTTAAAATAGACCTGTTCATCCAGACCGGTAGGGGGGGCGGAGTCAGGCAGCAGGGTGAGGGTTGCGGTGCAGAGAGCAGAGAATGTTGGGACCAGGTGTGTAAGGCATCTAGGGCATGCAGGACTGCAGAGGGTGGACCCTGGGCGTGCAAGCAGCAGCTGGCAGACCCCAGCCGAGGAGTGGCAGCCGGCAGACCCAGCAAGGCCGTGATTGTGAAGCAAGGCACTATGCGTTACCCAGGATCCCAATGCTGGGAAATAGAGCCTTGGGGCACTGATTGAAAACACTTGTGGGAGTTGAGGCGCAAGGAGAGACTCCCAGCCTCACAGGAGAGGTCGTTGGAAAGTCCCACAGGTTGCACAAGCCCACCCACATAGGAATCAGTACCAGAAAGGCCCAGTTTGCTTGGGGGAAGTGGCGGAAGGGACTGAGGTCCGACAGAGAGAGAAGCAGGAGCCATTGTTTCCTCTTGGACCCTGCCCCCACATACAGCATCAAAACCCAGTGACTGGGTTGCCCGACCCTGGTGAACACCTAAGGCTCCGCCCCTCATACGTAACAGGCATGACCAGACCAAAGGAAAAAAAAAAAAGATGCTCAAATAGAAGAAGAAATGAAAGCGCCAGAACCGATCCTTTTAAGTTACCGAGAGATAGCCAACCTATTAGATGGATGGTTCAAAACATTGGTGATCAGGATGCTCACAGAATTGGTTGATTTTGGTCACAAATTAGATGAAAAAATGAAGGCTATGCCAAGTGAAATGAAGAAAAATGCACAGGGAACCAACAGTGATGGAATGAAAGCTGGGTCTCACATCAATGGAGTGGACCAGAAGGAAGAAAGAAACACACAATCAGAAAAGAATGAAGAAACAAGAATTCAAAAAAATGAGGAGAGGCTTAGGAACCTCCAGGACATCTTTAAGTGATCCAACATCTGAATTATAGGGGTACCAGAAGGGGAAGAGGAAGAGCAACAAGTGGAAAACTTATTTGAACAAATAATAAAGGAGAACTTCCCCAATCTGGCAAAGGAAATAGACTTTCAGGAAGTCTAGGAAGCTCAGAGGGTCCCAAAGAAGTTGGACCCAAGAAGAAACACACCAAGGCACATCATAATTACATTAGCCAAGATAAAAATGAAGGAGAGAATCCTAGAAGCAGCAAGAGATAAGGGGACAGTCACCTACGAAGGAGTTCCCATCAGACTGTCAGCTGATTTCCCAAAACAGACCTTGCAGGCAAGAAGGGGCTGGAAAGAAGTATTCCAAGTCTTGAAAGGCAAGGACATACATCCAAGATTGCTCTATCCAGCAAAGCTATCATTTAGAATGGAAGGGCAGAGAAAGTGCTTCTCAGATAAGGTGAAGTTAAAGGAGTTCATCATCACCAAGCCCTTATTTTATGAAATGTTAAAGGGACTTATCTAGGAAAATGAAGATAAAAAACATGTATAGTAAAATGACAGCAAACTCACAATTACTAACAACCACACCTAAAACAAAAACAAAAAATAACTAAGCAAACAACTAGAACAAGAACAGAACCACAGAAATGGAGATCACATGGAGGGTTAGCAACAGGGGAGTGGGAGGAGGAGAGGGGGGGAAAGGTACAGAGAATAAGTAGCATAGACGGTAGGTAGAAAATAGATGGGGGGAGGGCAAGAATAGTATGGGAAATGTAGAAACTAAAGAACTCATGACACATGGACATGAACTAAAGGGGGGAATGTGGGTGGGAGAGGGTGTGCAAGGTGGAGGGGAATAAAGGGGGGTAATGGGACAACTGTAATAGCATAATCAATAAAATATATTTAAAAAAAGAAATACAAATGGAACTATAATATATCTATTCAACATGCAGAAAGTGAAGTATAAAAAAAATGGACAACTGTAGTGGATCAACTATGATCCAGTCATCTCTTAGACAAGTGGTACATATCTCAGCTAAGAGATATAGTCCATTTGGTCAAAGTTTATGCAGTTTAAAAAAACTTTATTAACAATTTATTAAGATATAATTCACATAGCATACAGTTGACCCATTTAAAATATAGTTCAATGGCTTTTCATGTATTCACAGATATGTGCATTCATCATCACAATCAAGACTAAGACATTCTCCTTACTCCCAAAAGAAACCTCATATCTCTTAGTTGTCACTTCCACTCCCTCCATACTCCAAATCCTGGTCAACCAGTAATCTGCTTCCTGTCACAGATATGCCCATTCTGGATTGTTCAGATAAATGGAATCATATAATATGTGACTGGCTTCTTTCACATAGTATGATGTTTTCAAAGATCATCTATGTTGTAGAAGCACTTATCAGTATTTGAATTATTTCCACTTTTTGGCTATTATGAATAATGCTGCTTTAAACATTTGTGTACAGTTTTTGTGTGGACATATGTTTTCATTTATCTTGGATATATACCTAAGAATAGATTTGCTGGATCATACTGTAAAGTTTTTAAAATATAGAATCATGTAAAGGAAAAGTCACATTTTTTTACATTTACTATTGTTTTGTATTAGTTTCAGTTGTAAAGCATAGTGGTTAGATAATTATATACTTTACAAAGTGTTCCCCTGATATTTCCAGTACTCACCTAGCACCATACATAGTTATTACAGTACTATTGACTATATTTTATATGCTATGCTTTATATCCCCATGACTATTTTGTAACTACCAATCTATAGTTCTCAATCCTTTCACCTTTTTCACCTAGCTCCCCAACCTCCTTTCCTCTGGCAACCATCAGTCTGTTCTTTGTATCTATGAGTCTGCTTCTTTTTTGTTTGTTAATTTATATTCTTCTTTAGATTCCACATATAAGTGAAATAATATGGTGTTTATCTCTCTCTGACTGACTTACTTCACTTAGCGCAATAACCTCTAGTCCATCCACATTGTCACATAAGGTAAAATTTCATTCTTTTAATTGCCAAGTAATATTCCATTGTACATATGTACCACAGCTTTTTTATCCAACCATCTGTTGATGGGTACTTGGATTGCTTCCATATGTTAATGCAGTTTCTGAAAGGCAAACTAGAACACTGAGTTGGCAAAATTTAAAATTACCCTCAAAATGAAGTAGCAATATTAAGAAGTGAAGTTGCTGACAGCAGGATAGATATACACAATGTTCTTTTGTTAACTTTCAGCCAAAAGGCTAATGGGGACGTTTTATAATGTCATTATGAAGTAAAAAAAATCAATATAAATGTGTTGTATCATCCCTCAGATTCTTTTTAGCTACAAAATTGTATTATTTTAATATTTGGCATAGTTTTTAATAGACAAATTTCTGTAAGAACATTTGTACCTTATTTATTAAATTGCCCAAATGTCTTTGATACTTGTCATTTTCTTCAATGAGTCTGGTACAGTGGTCTTCTTTTGACTCAAGAAGATTTCCCAATTTTGCAATCTATGGAGAAACATAAGTAAAAATATTAACCTGGAAACAGCCATGAAAGCATGGATGCTAAGAACAAGTAAGAACTGTGAGCTATACTTTATTCCAATACTCTTTCAAACTGAGTTTTATTGTAGGTGAATCAAGAGATGCTATGAACCAACAGAGACAGCAGTATGGTGGCTACCAGAGAGAAAGGCAGGGGGTGCAGAAAATGTTAAATGGAGTCCAATATGAGGTAACAGAAGATTTGACTTTGGCTGGTGAACACACAATGCAATATATAGATGATGTATTATGGAACTTTACACTTGAAAGTGATACAATTTTATTAACCTATACCACCCCAATCAAGTTAAAATTTTTTAAAAGTTGCTATGAACCAGATCCTAGTTAGACTGCATTTAGAATAGATGAGCAGAAATGATGTTTCAGCTTTTCTTTAACACTCTGCAACAACTATGCAAATAATTAAACACCTGTTGGTGAATACAAATATTTATTAGCCCCCGACTCTTCCCTATCTTCTTTCCATATATAACCAATGTAAAGACTTACTTACATCCGAGTAAACACTGTTGTTGTGCTTAATAACGTATTTTCAGCTGTGATAAATACTCTCACTGGCATAAATGACTGCCAGTTTTAAAAAAGGCTCAGCTCAATGTATGTCATATTCTGACCTATGGTTGAATTATTATTTGCAGAAAACCATTAAAAATTAAAGTCTGTATCCTAAAAGTGACATCTAGGATTAATTATCAGGAAAGAGTGTTCACAATTTCCCTTAGCAGTTACCTTAATATTCAAAGCAATTACAACAGAACCCCTCCCCCCAACAGAAAATTACAACAGAAGAAAAACAACAGAAATATCCCCATTCAATAACCATGTTAAGAATGGCCATCAATCTTTTAATATCTTAAAATACTTACATGTCCCCAGGAAGCAAAGACTAACAAATTCACTTCAGAAATAGCAACTTTTTTCTTTCCTATGTAGATGAATTAATGGGATGATTTCAAATCAGTGGTCCTACTGAACTGACTGCATACATTATTTAAACTAGGGAGTACAGATATTATCACCTCAATTTAACAGACGAAACCAAGGTGAAGAGAATTTAAAGGATTTTTGAAAGGGTATGTCTAGAAGTAGAAAATGTTTATCAACCATTAGCATAAAGCTTTTTCTATTCTGTTCCTTTGCATGCCATCTCCTCACTCTTGGAGAGTAGAGTTCCACTCTTAGCTTCACATAACTCATGATGTTTTACTGCAGCAGCATGGAATTCCTCCTCACTTCTCTTTTTCATTATAGACTTCACGGAATTCTTTAAGAAATTCATAGTTTGAATTTATTTAATAGCTTTCCAGATCAAAGTAATAACTCTTATAAGTCCTGGATTGAAATTTTTATTTGCTGAACTCAGATTAAAGAAAGAAGAGCACAGAATTTCTTAAAGTATTTATTTTTTAGATAAAGGGATAGCTTTGTAAACCAGCGTTTGGATTATAATGAAAATGAATGTAAAATTTTCAGTTTTTGCTAAAGAATATTAAGTTTAACTGCTTTGAGAGTATAATGGACATACAATAAGCTGCACATATTTAAAGAGCACAACTTGATAAACTGTTACATATGTATACAATTATGAAACCATCACACAATCAAGACAGTAAACATATCCATTACTGTCCCTCCCCACCAAAGTTTCCTCTTGCCACTTGGTAATCCCTCCCTTGTGCCTGCTTTTCTTTCCTGACTCCCACACTCTGTGCTAGCCCAGGAAAATGCTGATCTGCTTTCTGTCACCATTGATTAGTTTGTATTTTCTGGAGTTTCATATAATGGAACCAAACAGTATTTACTCGTCTCTTTTCACTCAGCATAATTATTTTGAGATTCATCTAGGTTGCCTGTGTGTAAGAAATTCATTCTTTAAAAAAAAAAAACCCCAAAACAATAAGGCCCTGGCTGGTATAGCTCAGTGGGTTGGGTGCCAGCCTGCAAACCAAAGGGTTACTGGTTCCATTCCCAGTCAGGGCACAAGCCTGGGTTGTGGGCCAGGTCCCCAGTAAGGGGCATGTAAGAGGCAACCACACATTGATGTTTCTTTCCCTCTTTTCCCTGCTGTCTAAAAATAACTAAATAAAAATCTTTAAAAAATTTTTTTAAAAATTATGTCATTGTATGGTTCATCCATTCATCCGTAAACAGCTGAATTGCTTTCAGTTTTTGGCTATTAGAAATAACGCTGCTAGGAACCCTCATTTGCAAGTCTTTGTATAATCATATACTTTCATTTCTCTTGGGTAAATACCTAGGAGTAGAATGGTGGTAGGTGTGTGTTTAACTTTTTAAGAAACTGCCCAAATATTTTCCAAAGTAGTTGTACCATTTTATGTTATCAGCAGTGTATAAGAGCTGGAATTACTCTACATCCTCACCAATCCCTGTTATGATCAGTCTTTCTGTCCCCTGCCCCCCACCCCAGATCAGGAGGTAAACCCATGGCATAAGAATCCATGGCATTGAAGCTGGAGAGGAACTCTCACAGTCTCCTCCAGGGTCTGGATTCTATTGGGATACTAAACTATTCCCCCAAACATTCCTTCCCAGCTTTCACTCAACTGAAGCGCCTATTTTCCCCTCAACTCCCAAGTTAACATCTTCCTCTGTACCCTCATGGGTTCCACTGACTGATCAAACTGTGGTATGTTTGTCATTCACTCTCCCAGCTACTCGTTCCTCAGCTATGTCCCCCTCATAGTTTTCAGCTCCCCAAATGCCAGAAATGTTTGTCCCATCTTTTTTGTATATACATCTTTTGACCACCTTCATTTATTTCTCCTACTCCCCTCCCCCTCCACCCCTTCCTGCAACTACCAACAACCTGTTCTCTGTATTTGAGCTTGGTTTTCTGCTTGCTGTTGGTTGTTTTTTTTTTTTTTTAGATCCCACATATAAGATCAATCATATAGCATTTATCTTCCTCTGACTTATTTCACTTAGCATAATGATCTTGTGGATCATATGGTCATCCTATTTTTAATTTTTGAGGAATCTTCATATTGTTTTCCATAGAGGCTGAAACAATTTATACTCCCACCAACAGTGCACAAGGATTCCCTGTTCTCCACATCCTTCCCAATATGTGTTATTTCCTGTCTTTTTGGTAACAGCCATTCTAACAGGTGCGAGGTGATATATCTCTGTAGTTTTGATTTACATTGCCCTGATGATTAGTGAGGTTGAGCATCTTTTCATGTACTTGTTGGCCATCTGTATGTCTTATTTGGAAAAATGTCTATTAAGATCTTCTGCCCATTTTTAATGGAGCTTGTTTTTGCTTTGATTTACATGAGTTTCCCATATATTTTGGATATTAATCCCTTATCAGATATATGATTTGCAAATATTTTCCTCTCATTCAATAGGTTGTCTTTTCATTTTGTTGATTTCCTTTTCTGTGCAGAAGCTTTTTAGTATGATGTAGTCCCACTTGTTTTTTTTTTGTTGCTTTTACTTTTGCTGTCAGATTTAAAAAATTGTCACCAAGACCCATGTCAAGGAACTTACTACGTTTTCTTCTAGAAGTTTTTAAAAATATTTTATTATTTAGCTATTACATTGTCTCAATTTTTCTCCTTTACCTCCTTCTACCCAGTTCCCACAAAGGTGTATGGTTTCAGATATCATGTTAAAGATTTAGTCCATTTTGAGTTGATGTTTGTGATTGGTATAAGAAAGATATTGGTCCAGTTTCATTCTTTAGCATGTGGCTATCCAATTTTCCCAACACCATTGATTAAAGAGACTGTCCTTTTCCCCATTGTATATTCTCAGCTCTTTTGTTGGAAACTTATTGGCCAGATATGGGTGGGTTTATTTCTGGGTTCTCTATTCTATTCCATTGATCTATGTGTTTCTTTTTATAACATTACCATGTTGTTTTAATGACTATAGCATGGTTAAATAGAGTTTGAAATCAGGGAGCATAATGTCCCCAGTTTTGTTCTTCTTTCTTCAGGTTGTTTTGACTGTTTGGGGTCTTTTGTGTTCCATATAAATTGTAGGATTGTTTGTCTGGTTTCTGTGAAAAATGCCATGGGAATTTTCATAGACATTGCATTGAATCCATACACTGCTTTGAATAGTATGGACATTTTAATAATATTAATTTTCTTCCAACCCATGAGCATTAAGTATTTTTCCATTTATTTACATCTGCTTCAGTGTCTTAATGTCTTCCATTCAGTCTTTTAAATATGCATTCTAATAGGTGTGTAGTGGTATTCATTGTGGTTTTAATTTACCTCCTAAGATGATATCTTTTCATGTGTTTATTTGTCATCTATGTATCTTCTTAAGGAAGTGTCTGCTAAAATCTTTTTGCCTACTGTTTTTTATTTTGTATTAGTTTCAGGTGTAAAGTATAGTTGTTAGACAATGATATACTTTACAAAATGTTCCCCTAATATTTCCAGTACTCCCATCTAATACTATACATAGTTATTATAATATTATTGACTATTGCCTATGCTGTACTTTACATCCCCATGACTATTTGTGACTACCAATCTGTATTTCTTAATCCCTTGACCATTTGCACCCAGTCCCCAAATCCCCTTCTGCTCTGGAAACAATTAGTCTGTTCTCTGCCTCTTTGTTTATATTATTTAGATTCCATGTATATGGGAAATCATATAGTATTTGTCTTTCTCTGACTTACTTTACTTAGCATCCCTTAGGTCCATCCATTCTGCCACGAATGGCAATATTTCATTCTTGTTATGTTTTCCCACTTTTCTAATTGGGTTATTTTCTTATTATAGAGTTTTGAGGGTTCTTTACATATTCTCAATACCAGTCCTTATCAGATCTGTGACTTGCAAATATTTTCTTCCAGTTTGTGACTCCTCTTTTCATTAAGAGCTCAATATTTTAAAGTTTATTTATTTTTGGTGGCCTGATTTATTTTTTTAAATATATTTTATTGATCATGCTATTATAGTTGTCCCACTTTTACCCCCTCATCCCTCTCCACCCATCCTGCTGCCCACTTCATGATGAATCCCTTCATTGTTGTCCATGGATCCTTCATATGTATCTTTGATTAATCTCTTCACCTTCTTTCAATCAGTGCCACCATCCTCTCCCCTCTTACAGTTGTCCATCTATTCCATGATTCAATGCCTCTGGTTCTATTTTCTTTTCTTTTTTTAAAGTATATTTTATTGATCATGCTATTAGAGTTGTCTGATTTTTCTCCTCTTTATTCCCCTCTGCTCTGCACCCCGCTCCAACCAGCATTCCCCACCCTAGCTCATGTCCATGGGTCATACATATAAATTCTTTGGCTTCCACATTTCCTATACTATTGTTAACCTCCCCCTATTTTCTACCTACCACTTATGCTTCTTAGTCCTTGTAACTTTTCCCTCATTCTCTCCTCTCCCCCTCCCTGCTGATAACCTTCCATTTGCTCTCCATTTCTGTGATTCTGTTCCTGTTCCAGTTGTTTGCTTAGTTTGTTTTGCTTTTGGTTCATTTTTTGACAGTTGTGAGTTTGTTGTCATTTTACTGTTCATATTTTTTATCTTCTTTTTCTTTGATAAGTCCCTTTAACATATTATATAATAAGGGCTTCATGATGATGAATTTCCTTTAACTTGACCTTATCTGGGAAGCATTTAAACTGCCCCTCCATTCTAAATGATAGCTTTGCTGGATAGAATCATCTTGGATGTAGGTCCTTGCCTTTTATGACTTGGAATACTTCTTTCCAGCCCCTTCTTGCCTGCAAGGTCTCTTTTGAGAAATCAGCTGACGGTCTGATGGGAACTCCTTTGTAGGTGACTGTCCCCTTATCTCTTGCTGCTTCTAGGATTCTCTCCTTCATTTTTACCTTGGCTAATGTAATTATGATGTGCCTTGGTGTGTTTCTTCTTGGGTCCAACTTCTTTGGGACTCTCTGAGCTTTCTGGACTTCCTGGAAGTCTATTTCCTTTGCCAGATTGGGGAAGTTCTCCTTCATTATGTTTTCAAATAAATTTTCAATTTCTTGGTCTTCCTCTTCTCTGGCACCCTTATGATTCGGATGTTTGAAGGTTTAAAGTTGTCCCAGAGGTTTCTAAGCCTCTCCTCACTTTTTAAAAAATTCTTATGTCTTCATACTGTTCCAATTACATGTTGATTTATTTCCTTCTGTTCCAAACCGTTGATTTGAGTCCCAGTTTCCTTCTCATTACTGTTGGCTTCTGTATATTTTTCTTTATTTCACTTTGCATAGCCTTCACTTTTTCCTCTATTTTGTGACCATACTCAACCAATTCTGTGAGCATCCTGATTACCAGTGTTTTGAACTCTGCATCTGATAGGTTGCCTATCTCTTCATCACTTAGTTCTATTTTTGGAGCTTTGATCTGTTATTTCATTTTGGCTATATATTTTTTTGTCTGGCATGCCTGTTATGTAGTAAGGGGCGGAGCCTTAGGTATTCACCAGGGTGGGACAACCCACTTTGCTGCATTTTGGTGCTGTATGTGGGGGAGGGGTCCGAGAAGAAACAACGGAGCTTGTTCAGCTCTCTCTCAGCTCTCAGTCACTTCTACTGCTAACCACTAGAAAATTGGGCCCATCTGGTGCTGATTCACAGGTAGGTGGTTTTGTGTACATTCTAGGACCCTGTGGGTCTCTCCAGTAAACTCTACTGTGAGGCTGGGAGTTTCTCTCCCCCCTCCTCAACCCCCTCAGGTTTTTTCAGTCACAGGCTTTGAGGCTTTATGTCCCCACACTGGAGCCCTGGGTTGTGCAGTCTGTCTCACTCCCCAGTAGTTCCTCCCAGTGTATCTGTACGGAAATGTGGGGACTACCTGCTCCACCAGCTGCCTTTTTGCTGTGAGTCCTCTCCACCTGGCTGCCCACCTCTGCCCCTCCTACCAGTCTGGATGAATGTTTCTTCTTTAACTCCTTGATTGTTGGACTTCCATACAGTTTGATTTTCTGTCAGTTATGGTTGTTTTTTTGTTTTTAAATTTGTTATTCTTCTTTTGGTGGTGCAAGTAGGCACAGTATGTCTACCTAAACCTCCTCCTCTGTTTTCAATAGCTGACATTCTTCAATGAAGAACTCTCCTTCATCAATTATTTGGTTTCTCTGAGACAGTTTGTACAAGAAGATGGTAGCAACATTTTTAAAGTTACACAGTATGTCTCATACACTCCCATTTGTCTCTTTTTTCTCATTCTAGTTTCCCAACATTGGGAAGATTAAGGTCCACTCTCTTCGTATTTTACATCTGAAGCACAGAACTGCTAATGAATGACAGAATTTATTGAGTGCTCTTCTATTAAATGCCTATGCTCAAATTTTACTGGTCTTTAAGACCCAACTCTCATCCCCTTTACAAAGTTTCCCATGATTTTCCCACTTGGATGTCATCTGTTCTTTCTTTGAACTCATCATTCTACATACATCTCCTCTCTTAGGTACTAGTCACTGTATCTCTTTTTAAGGAACTTTCCCTTTACTCTTTGTAAATAATTATTTATGTATTTTATCTTCTTTTCTAGATCCCTTAGAAGCAGGGGCTCTGTTTGATTTAGCTTTCTCTCTCCCCAGTGACTAGTGTTTCTTAACCTTTTGTGGGAAGTCAATTACTTTTTAATGAAAAAAAAATAATGAATTAGAAAAGAAATATTTAAGCTTTTACAGCAATGGACTTTTTCTTCTTTTAAAGGTAAATGGGGCTTTCTTGGGTCCTCTCTTCTAAGATCACCTCCCAAAAGAAGGAACAATGGTGTGCTGAAACAGGCCACGTCCATGTGTAGCCTATTCACTGCACCAGCTATGCCCAATGTGTGCCCACCAAGAAACACAGTAGAGGCAGCAGCTGTTTCTACTTGTTACAGATGTTTCTGAAGTGAGTGTCTTCAATGCCTATGTGCTTCCCAAGCTGTATATGAAACTACATTACTGTGTGACTGTGCTACTCACAGCAAGGTAGTCAGGAATCACTCTCATGAAGTCCAGAAGGATTGAACACTCCCACCCCAATTTAGACCTGTTGGTGCTGTCCCATGACCTCCACTAAAGCCCATGTAAGGTGCTAAATCCTAAGGACTGAAGAAATATTCTCTGGAAAAAAATAAAATGGAAATTATACTTAAAAAAGATCAATGGGTATGTTCTAAATTTAGCATATATGCATATTTTTAATAATTTAGAAGTATAATAGACTTCTTTAAATAACTGCTATTAAAAATATATTAGGTTAATTAACCACCTTTTTATTATAGTGGGATCCAAATGGATTGTAACTCTGTAGCTACCAATATCCAAATGGATTGGTAACTATCTAGTTACCAATATCATATTTTCATTTTCTTCTAACATATTTTTCCTGTTTATTTGCCTTTAGTTTTTTCCAGCTTTACTGAGATATAATTGACATACAGCATTGTGTAAGTTTAAGGTATACAATTGGTTGATTTGATACATTTATATACTGCAAAATGACTCCTACCATTCCATAAGCTAACACCTTCATTAAGTTATATAATTACTATTTCTCTTCTGCAGTGATGCCCTTTTCCTTAGGTGCCATCTAAAGTAAACTATGAGTGCTATCTCTCAAAGCATCTCTTAATCATGGTGGTTGTAAACAACTATCACTGTATGAATGGTGGTAGCATATACAACAATGTAAATATGCTTCACTCACTATAAAAAATTGCACATATTTTTTTATTTCTACACTTTGAAAGAAATTAATCTGATTAGTCTAAATAGAAATCAGATGGGATATTATGTAAAATTTCAAAACCTGAAAATGTAAAAGTTCAGCTCTCTACTCTGTAGGTGAATAATACTGCCACAATACCAGTGTGTGACCATTTTAATGAGCAAATTTCTTAAACTTGTTAATAAAATGGTGTTATATGTAAAAATGATAGCAAAGCAACAAAAATTTTTTCTTACCAAGATATTAAGCTCTTCATTTAGACTGTGGTACTTATCCAGTTTGGCTCCCAATAAGGTAGGTACATCTCTGACTTCATTTGAATTCACACTCTTGGCTTCATTTGAATCGAAGTCTGTAACCTGAGATTCAATATATTTGTGCTCACTTCTAATACTTTGACACTACTCTGAGCATTTAAAAATAAATACTTTATTAGTGAAACAAAGAGATTTTCAGTGGCTACAATAATAAAAGTATAGAACTTAGAGCTAGAAGGATTTAAACAAATTACCAAAAGAATATAAACATCTGAAATTATATTTTTGCATATTAAAGACAGTACGTAGTAAATGTTAAACTCACGTCAATCACCTGATCTTGAAATGCTTTTTCATTAGCAATTAACTCTCTAAAAGTTGCAATTCTATCTTTATGTTTCTGTAGCTAGGAAACAAAAAGCATTTTACATTTCAGAGAAGAGTAAATAAAACTACATTCTATAACATTTATAATAAAACCATCAAACCATGCAAAGTTCAATTCTTGGTATCCCAAAAGACATGCTGTTGTGACAGCTTTTGTCCAGAAAAAGAGTTCATATAGCAGGCCCGAGGTTGCTATCCTTAAAAAGGCCTGCTAGCCAAGCTGCCCTCTGACTGTATCTGGGAACTTGAATTGTGGGAGGGTCTCCATCCTTTCCTGATATGAATGGCTCATTGTGCCTAACATATTTGTATGAAGAATGTGGTTTATACTGAATTCCTCTTTCTACCTGGAGGGTTTATCATTTTGGTATATGCTAGGCAGAAGGTGCTTATGTGAACAGCCCCCACTAGAAACCCTGGGCACTGGGTCACAAGTGGGTCTCTCTGGTAGACAACATTTCACGTGTTGTCATAACTCACTGCTGGGGAAATGAATCCTATGAGCCTCCACTGAGGGAGGATGGATGCAAGCTTGAATCTGGTTTCTTTTGCACCTTTTCTGTTTGTTCATTTTGATTTGTATCCTCTCACCATAATAATACATCATAGCTGTGAGTACACTGTATGCTGGATCCCTTGAGTCCCAGTGAATCCCTGAACTTGAAGGTGAGCTTGGGATCTCTAGGGAGCTTATCCTAATGTTCCATTGTTTTTACAATGAGGCTATCAAAATTCTTCTTTAAAGAAAAAAAAACTAGTCAACTTTTCTACATGCAACTTATAATCATTTCTTATTGGTTCATTTTTTCCTTCAGTATAACAATAAATCTTAATATTCAAACACTGCCAAATATCAGTGAAGTGTGCTGCACAGAATATTTTTTATTATGAACAATTTCCAATATTTCTTAAAAAAACAGAGAAAAAACTTTAATAAACCACCATGTAACTATCATCTAGCTTCAACTATTAATAGCTAATAGCCAATCTTGTATCATTTATATTCCCAACCACTTCATTCTTTCTCCATGCCCTTCACCAAATCAAATCATAGACATCACATAATCTCATCTGCCAATATTTCAGGAATTACACAGAAATTTACCAAAAGAGCATGAATATCTGAAATCGTATTTTTGTACCATACTGCTCCAACCCTCAACTGGGCTTATTTTTGAAGATGGGTTTAAGAAGTGGAGGCCAGTAATTTCTGTGCATGTTTGTTTATTTCTTGATCCTTTTCTCTACAGGTTAGCTAGGAGATCAAAGAGTTTCCTCAGAATACCTGCAGCACTGATTTTCTCTCTCCTCAGTTCACAGAAGTAATTTCCTGATAGCACAGAACTAAGTTTGTTGTAATAATCCAAGATTTCAGATTTAAATGTTTTATTCCTTTAGCTAGATAAATTTGTCACTTTTGTATTCCTCTCAGATTAAAAATGGCACAAGTTAACATTCTGTTATCACCATCCCTATCTAACTTCCTCTCTCCGTGTTTTTTTATCCTCACCGGAGGACATGCCTATTGATTTTAGAGAGGCGGGGAACAGAGGGAGAGGGAGAGAAACATCAATCGGCTGCCTCTTGTATGTGCCCCAACCAGGAACCAAACCCACAACCTAGGTGCACCCTGACCAGGAATTGAACCAGCAACCTTTCAGTTTATGGGACAACACTCCAACCAACTGAGCCATACCAGCCAGGGCTTAGCTTACTCTCTTAATTTTATCTTTTAATCTCTGTAACACTATACCAAGAAAAGAATAATTGAAGAAATTTCAAGAGCCTCTTCCTTACCCTTGTTCCACATGAAAAATAAAATTATTTGTTTTCAGTTTATACATTATTCCAAGTGATAAAGTTTGTAATCACTATAAAAATGTCAAAATACACTATTCTTCAGAAATCAGTAATGCCATGCAAAAGTGAAAAAATAATCATACCAATTTTTTTGGTAGATGAACAAGACTTTCTAATACAGACCTACATTATTATACAAGTCAAATGTTGCACAATATATCTCCTTAGTGAGAGCCATAGTAAAGATAATCTGGTCCACAAAAACAATTCTTATTTTATTTTATTTTTTATTTCTTACAGAGAAGAGAAGGGAGGGAGAAATACAGGGAAAGAAAGATTGACTGTTGCCTTCCATAAGCACCAGGGAGTGAGCCTGCAACCCAAGCATGTGTCCTGACTGGTGACCTTTTGGTTTGCAGGACAATGCCCAGCCAACTAAGTCACACCAGCCAGGGTGCACAAAAACAATTCTTTTAAAAAAATATCCAAATTTTAGGATTCTCTTTTTTAGGATACATTTATATTACCTTTTACTTTGACTATTTTTTCACTAAAAGTGATACAATTTTTATCTTTATTAAAAATTTTTTAATTGAGAGACAGACAGATACTGATTTGTTGTTTTGCTTATTTATACATTCATTGTTCTAGTCTTGTATGTGCCCTGACGGAGAATTGAACCCGCAACCTCGGTACATAGAGATGATGCTCTAACCAACTAAGCTACCCAATCAGAGTGATATAATTTTTAGAACAAAGACTACATACAGTACCTCTTCATCTAAATTTTTCTTTTTAAGATGGAAACTCTTCAATTTTTGCAGCATTGTATCACTAACTTTCTCATTTTCTTTGAAATGTTCAGCAGTAAGATTGCTGATGTCCTAAAGGTAACAGTTTGAGAAGCTAGTTTAAAATGTTTTCAGTAAAGCTAAAAGGGAAAAACAAATGAAACAAATCTCCCTCCCAAAATAAGTGATCAAACCAAAGAAGGTTAAATAATATTGAACTCAATTCTTTACTCATCATGAGACATCCAATAAAGGGTTAGTGTGGAAAGATTTCATATAGATTTATACTTGTGCATAAATTGTTATTGGGAGAGGTTAATATAATCACTGGGAGGTTAATATTCATTTATAATAACTATACATGCTCATGCATTCATACATTCACCCCCTCCTAACCTAGTTTACAAATTCAAATTCTAGACAAATTATTGTAACTGATACTAAAATAATCAGACATCCTCAATACTATAAAACTCTAGAATGAAGGTACTTGTACCAAAATAACCTAAGGATCAAAAGTGCATGCACAAGAGTCAGACTGCCTGGGAGATTCTGCCTGAGCTCAACCATTTTATCATATGTGACTTTGGACAAGAAACTCAATGATTCTAAGCCTTGGTTTATTTATCCATATTTTTTTAAAGCCTGATAAAAAATATAAAGAATCATGTAAGAGCTAATCCATAAGAAGCAGTAAACCTGAATGGCTTCAAGAACAGGTTGGGAAGTCAGCAAATATTTGCCTATTAGAAGCTTAATCAGTGTGAGGTATACGGGACATACAGCATACCAGGTCTCTCATCTTCAAGGTTTATGTCCTGGTGGGGTGGGAGACAGAATAAACAAACGTAGTATTGGTACTAAGAAGATCTATACTTCATTACTGAGAGGTCTGGTAGAGGAGAAGCAGTCAGCAAATAAAACTGAGAAAGAACAGTCGCCACCAGCGAGATGGGAGAAAAACAAGCAAATATGGTGAGTAAGCATACGTTTGAAGGACAAGGTGCAGTGAAAAGTTTTGCAGCCAAGAAGATACTGTGCCACAATCAAATCCCAATATTTAAACACACAACTTTAGGTAGATATAGTCTGTGGGCCACTACTTTGTGAGCTCTGCATAAAACACATAGCTCGGTGTGTCACATTCAGTAAATGCTAGTGTTCATCACATCTGAACTAAGACAAAATAGAAATAAGGCTTGTGCTGGATCGGGAACATCACAAACCTATGCCATCAAACTTTGGCTCAGATGAATGCACTTAAGATCAAAGAAATGTAAATAGAAGAAAAGTGGAAGAAAGAGAGCTAGCTATTTTGAGAAACTATCAGGTGTCACGTCCTTTAATATGTTCTCATTAAACGTGGTGCTCCTTACCTTCCAAGGTAGCAGCAAGTATCATTCCACTACATATGAGGAGGAAACTAAGGTAAAGTTACTTGGCCCAGTCACACACCCAGTAAGTAGTGAAGTCAGGATTCAAACTCATCTGACACTAACTTCATTTTTCATTCTACTAATGTACACAGCTCCACACTGTCCTCCCCTTTGCCCTGAAGCAATATTTTTAGATTGGGTAAATAGTAAACAGCTCATTAGTGGGAACAATAACTTATCCCTAGGAGGAGACAGATCCAGAGTGTAAGACTACTGCTCTGAAAGAGCTTTCCTGAAAATGGGAAGTGTTAAATGAAGAGTTTCCCTAGGAGTCTTTATTTTTTATCTTATTATATTACTATACTGTAGACTTGTGGGATTTAGATGTTGAAGAAGAAAGCAATAGGTGGAAGAAAAGGCTGACTGGTTGGTTTAAGGGTCTTTATTTTATCTTCCATTATTTTATTTCATGACTTAATTCTGTCACCTCCTATTGCCTCTTTTGGTTTAAGTCCAACCTTGGTAATTTCTCCCTCACCCAATAAAAATAAGCATTTGTTCAAATTACCTGGCATGTGAGAAGTCTTGTCATCAGAGCCATAAGATTGTGAATTTTGAAGGCCGGCTGGAAAGTCCTTTTCACATCTGGGGGATTCAGGCTCTCTTCTTCACAAGGTGAGTAATTCAGGAACAAATTAGAATGTATCATCTTTGCATCCTATGTGTACACAATTCAGATTTGTCACAATAAGACAGAATCTGGATTACTTTTAAAGTAAAATGCTGACTAAAATACCACTCCTAAAAGCTCTGGATTGTGGTTCTCAAACTTTTTGATTCTCAGTACCCCTTTATACTCTTAAAAATTATTGAGGACCTCAAAAACATCTTGTTCATGTAAGTTATATCTATTAATATTTACTACATTAGAAATTAAAAGTGAGAACATTTAAAAATATTTACTTTTAAATAACAATAACTCTATTTTGTCAATATAAATAAAAATTTAATAAAATATTGCTGCATTTTACAAAAAAAAATGAAAAGAGTGGGACTGTTATGTTTTTTGCAAATGTTTTAACACTGGCTTGATGAAAGACAGCTGGACTCTATTTGCTTCACACATTGTATCAGCCATGAAAACAATTACATCACATGTCACTTAGTTTTTGGAAAACTCCACTATATACTTGTGGAAGGATGAAAGTGAAAAAGGCAATAACATCTTTATATTACTATGAAAATATTTTTGACCTCACAAACACTCTCAGACCACACTTTGAGAAAATGGATCTAGAGTTAATAAAAAGCAAAACTAAAAGCACAGTAAGGATGATATGGGGATACTAAAGAAATTGATTAGTTAAGAGAAAACAAAAAATTTTACTTTATTTTTTAAAAAGCTCAAGAAAAAGTTCATATACTGTGATAAACTTCTGTACATTTACACTAATTCGTTCAGAGTTTACTGCTTTAAAAACTATTATGATTTGGTTAGCAGCTAAACTTAATGTCATCTTTGCTTATGTTAGTGGTTCTCAGAGTGTGATTCCTGGACTAGCAACATCAGTGAGACCTAAGATCTTGTCAGAAATGCACATTCTTAGGCCCCACCACACACCTTCTGAATCAGAAACTCTGGGTTGGGCCCCGACAATCTGCATTTTCACAGCTGATGTTGATGAATGCTAAAGTTTAAGAACCACTGGCTTAGATAATTCTTCCTTCTTTCTGGAGAAAAGATGACAGAGAAAATTTTTTAAACAGAGACAGTGGTTTCCTAAGAATCATTAAAAATAGAATTATTTACCGTACTTGCCAACAGTATGTGCGAGTATATGTACTGATTACAGATTCATGAAAGAGAGTCCCCCAGTACATTTTCAAGACAAAAGATCAGCTCAAGGTATAACAAATATAAAAAAAAAAACTTAGAAATTTTTCTTGTTCAGATTAGCCTTCTTTCTAAGTAGTCAAAGTTTTTAAGATTGTACTACTATTTTAAGGCAGGTCTATACAACTGAAATAGGTTTACTCTCTCTTGTGAAAATTACTACTTCCAGGACATGCTTCCAGGTTCTTGGCTGCCAAAACAGCCATTTGAACTGCAGAGAATACCAAATTACAGTCCCTCCAAAAATATTGATATGAGGCTCTCATACTCTCACAGTTTTTAATTGATGTTAACTAGACTTACTGTGATCATTTTACAATGTATACAAATACCAAACCATTATGTTGTACACCTGAAACTAATGTTATTTATCAATTGTATCTCAATAAAAATGTTTATAATTTTACAAAATTAATGTGATATAGGTTGGTAAACCAAATATGCAATTATATTATTTACTTTTATTGTTGAAAAGATTAAAATCCCCACTTAGAAAAATCCTTTCTCAAAGGATGCTTCAGATTATTGGTCAGAGGTAGCCAAAAATTTCCAACATTAATTTTCATCTTTACCATAACAATCACAAGAGACTTGAAATGGCTGTTCTTTAATACAAGTACCCAAGAACCAAAGTAACTTCTCCAAACCTGTGGTTAATTTTCCATTCTTTCTGCTTAATAATTCTTTCTGCAAAAAAAATTATCATGCCTAAAGATGCATCACCAGATTATTGGAAACCTCTGAAATTCTGCATTAGAGATTTTGAATTTGTGACAGTACCTTTGTGATATTTGATTTCATTACGTCCTCTAAGTGCTCCTTTAGCTGAGCTATCTCAAATTTAGGGACATAATTTTGCTCCTCGCTCCTTGCAACCTGCTGCTGAAGTTTTGCATTTTCATTTTTTACTTCATTGATCTTCTGCTGAAGCTTTGTATTCTTGGCCCTTTCACTTTCAGATACAAATTGCACATTTTTAAATTGAGCTACCAATTTCTCAAGTCTACATTTCAGTTCCTGTCTTTCTTCCAGGTTTTCCTTTTCACGTTTCTGAAATTCCTCCTGTAAAGACAGGAACTCTTGTTCTCGGGACTCTTTTTCCCTTTTCAATAAGTCCAAAGCAGAAGTGGTGGCATTTTCCAATTCTCCTTTGAGTTGCTGCAGTCTCTCTACCTCTTCTTCTTTCTTGCTTAAGGCTTTGCCCATCTCTATGTACTGACTAACAGTTTCATTTTTTTGTTGCATTTCAGTTACGTACCTTTCCTGTAGACAAATATAATTTCCCTTGATCCTCTTAAGCTCTATCTGTAAGATTTCCTTTTCTTTTCTAGATTCCTGAAGATGTTTTTGGGTGTTAGTTAAAATGTCATGTAAATTCTGCAATGTCTTGTCAGTTTCACTTTTCTCTATCATTACTCTGTATTTGTCTTCAATCAATGCTTCGACATTCTCCTTTAGCTTATTTATGATATCAACCAACACCTGCTGCTTGTTAGTCTTAGCCAGTAATTCTTCAACTTTCTTCTCTAAGTACATGTTAGTACACTGTAGGTTTTGGATCAGAGTTTGCTGCTTTTTGTTAGTATGTTTTAATTTCTGTAAGACTTCATTTAAAGCCATATCCTCTTCCAGAGGTTGTAAGTTTTCCAAGCTTTGTTCTGCCTCAGGTATCTCGCAATCCTCCCAAGATGCCCCACCACTCCAAGCAATGCCTGCAGGAGAACAAGTTGACACAATCTTTAGACCCTCCATGTTCTCCACTGCAACTTCCTTTTGGTGACTGACTGACATCTCAGGAATCTCCCCAGAATTCTGTATACCTTTTGAAGAAACTGCAACCTATAAATTAAGAATAAATAAGAGTGAAAGAGTAGAATTACCTTGAACTTTGAAGTCAGAGCCGGCCTTGAATGGTAGATCCCTAGTTTGGTGTCCTCAGCCATAAAATAACTATACATATTTCCAATAATAACACCTACTTAACAAAAATACTTAAGTGTTAATTGCTAAATGTACGTATAGCATCTAACAGCACAGCAGAGCACAAACAACAGGTGTATGATAAAAATATGTATCCTATTTACTTTTACAAAGAAATTAAACGCTGATAATCTCACCATCTTCTCTGATACAAAATTTTCTGGACACATACAACATTCATTCTTTGACTTCACATAAATTAAAACAAATTTATAAACTACCCTACAGACTCTGAGGCCTCTTTTGAATACTTTTTTCATTCCTCATTAAACCATTATCTCATTGTGCTATGACTCTCGTAAACATTAGAATGCTAGGTAAACATGTCCTGTAACCACAGGACATGTTGATTTCTGCCCAAAATACAGGTTTGGGGTGGGGAGTTAAAAAGGACAGTACATTGTAGTAAAACAAAGCTGAAATGAATACTACATTAAAAAAAACAGTAAAAGGACTTCCAGTCAAGATGGAGGTGTAGGTAGACACACTGTGCCTCTTCCCACTACCAAAATAAGGTCAGCAACAATTTAGAAAGAGATAACAACCAGATCTGACAGAAAATTAAACTGTATGGAAGTCAGACAACCAAAGAGTTAAAATAGACACGTTCATCCAGCCAGGCGGAGAGGGATTGCGGCACAAAAAGTGTTGGCACCAGACGCATAAGGCATCTGGACGCAAGACCCCGGTGGGCAGACCCTAGGCACACAGGCAGCTGGCAGACTCAGTGAGGCTGCGACTGTGAAGCGAGGCACTGCGTGCAAGGCACCTGGCTGTCTGGGCCACATTTGCGCACAGATAAACCAGGTGAAATTGGACAGTGAGACAGACTGTGCAACCCAGGGTCCCAGCACCAGGAAACAGAACTTCAAGACACTGACTGAAAACACCTGTGGGGATTGAGGTGCAGGGAGATTCCCAGCCTCAAAGAAGAGTGCGTGGGAGAGACCCACAGTGTCCTAGAACATACACAAGCCCACCCACAAGGGAATTAGCACCAGAAAGTCCCACTTAGCTTGAGGGAAGTGGCAGAAGGGACTGAAATCCGACAGAGAGAGAAGCAGGCACCATTGTTTTCTCTTGGACCCTGCCCCCACATACAACATGGCAACACAGCAACTGGGTTGCCCCGCCCTGGAGAACACCTAAGGCTCCACCCCTCACTACATGACAGGCGCAACCAGACCTCCCCCCCCCCAAAAAAATGGCTCAAATGGAAGTACAAATCAAAGCCCTAGAGCCAATACTTTTAAGTGACCAAGAGATAGCCAACCTATCAGATGCTCAGTTCAAAGCACTGGTGATCAGGATGCTCACAGAATTGGTTGAATTCAGTCACAAATTAGATGAACAAATGAAGGCTATGATAAGACAAATGAAGGAAAATGAACAGGGAACCAATAGTGATGGGAAGGAAACTGGGACTCAAAACAATAGAGTGGACCAGAAGGAAAAAAGAAATAAGCAAACAGAAAAGAATGGAGAAATAATTAAAAAAAAATGAGGAGAGGCTTAGGAACCTCCAGGACATCTTTAAATGTTCCAATATCTGAATTATAGGGGTACCAGAAGGGGAAAAAGAGCAACAAGTGGAAAAGTTTTTTGAACAAAGGAGATACTTCTCCAATCTGGCAAAGGAAATAGACTTCCAGGAAGTCCAGGAAGCTCAGAGAGTCCCAAAGAAGTTGGATCCAAGAAGAAACATACCAAGGCACATCATAATTACATTAGCCAAGGTAAAAATGAAGGAGAGAATCCTAGAAGCAGCAAGAGATAAGGAGACAGTTACCTACAAAGCAGTTCCCATCAGACTGTTAGCTGATTTCTCAAAAGAGAGCTTGCAGGCAAGAAGGGGCTGGAAAGAAGTATTCCAAGTCTTGAAAGGCAAGGACCTCCATCCAACACTGCTCTATCCAGCAAAGCTTTCATTTAGAATGGAAGGGCAGATAAAGTGCTTCTCAGATAAGGTGAAGTTAAAGGAGTTCATCATCACCACGCCCTTATTTTATGAAATGTTAAAGGGACTTATCTAGGAAAATGAAGATAAAAAACATGTATAGTAAAATGACAGCAAACTCACAATTACTAACAACCACACCTAAAACAAAAACAAAAATTAACTAAGCAAACAGCTAGAACAGGAACAGAACCACAGAAATGGAGAACACATGGAGGGTTAGCAACAGGGGAGTGGAAGGAGGAGAGAAGGGGAAAAGGTACAGAGAATAAGTAGCATAGACGGTAGGTAGAAAATAGATGGGGGGAGGGCAAGAATAGTATGGGAAATGTAGAAGCTCAAGAACTTATGACACACATGAACTAAATGGGGGAATGTGGGCGGAAGAGGGTGTGAAGGGTGGAGGGGAGTGAAGGGGGAAAATGGGACAACTGTAATAGTGTAATCAATAAAATATTTAAAAAAACAGTAAAAGGTATTTATAGGAGTGGGCTGTATCACTTTCTAGAATTTAGATGTTGGACCCCTATATTTTCTATTTTACTTTCCTAATCCTCACCCAGGGATATGTTTACTGATGAGACAGACAGACAGACAGACACATCAGTGTGAGACAAACATCCATCAGTTTCCTCCTGTACACACCTTGCCCGGGGATCAATCTCACAACCTAGGCATGAGCCCTGACCAGGAATGGAACTTGCAAACTTTTGGTGCATGGGATAATGCTCCAACCAACTGTGCCACCTGCCCAGGGCTGAACATCTGTATTTTAATGTTTCTTCATTGTTCTAGGATAAAGACAACTATCCCTACTGGAACCTACAAGGTTCTAATATCTGGTCTTGACATTTGATCCATGCTACTCTCCATCCTCATCTACTACATCCCTGTTGCTCCCTCCAACTCAGCAACCATGGTCTTCTTTCAGGACCTAGTAGGGACCATGCTCCCTGCAGCCATGGAGTTTTTGCACATTACTTCTGCATGGAAGGCTCCTCTAACCCCAGTTAACGAATTAACTCCAACTCATCTTACAGAGTTCAGCTCAATTCCCACTACATCTGGGAAGCCTTCCCCAAACTCTCTGACCAAGGCTGTAAGACACCTACCTTACTTTTATTTGCAGCACCAATCATTGCTGCAAGTTTGTATGTAATTTTACATAACATTATATATACATAACATTAAATATAGTGTATTTACATACACTTTAGTTTTTAAAAGATTTTACTTACTTTTGAGAGAGGGGGAACAGAGAGGGAAAGAGAGGGAGAGGAATATCAGTGTGCAAGAGAAACTTCAATTGGTTGCCTCTTGCATGCCCCCCAACCAGGGGTCTGGCCTTCAACCCTGGCCTGTGCCCTAAAGGGGAATGGAACCAGTGGCCCTTCCAGTTTGCAGGCTGATGCTCAACCCACGGAGCCATACCAGCCAGGGCTACTTACACTTTATATGAAAATTTTATTCATGATACTTACCATAGTTGAAAATCTGCATTTATTTGTGTAATTATTTGAGTAATGTCTATCTCTTCCAGTAGGATGTTATTTTCATGATGACAAAATTTACATCTTTTTTTTAACTATTATGTAACCAACACACAGCATAGGGCCTAGCCTATATTAGATGTCTGAAAGTATTTAATGACTGAATGAGTAAATGTAATGGAAATAGGAAGGAATACTCTTTAGAAATCCCAACTAAACAGATTTTTAAAATGTTATTTTCCAGAAACAAATATAGGGAAATAAAGTCCTCTTTTAAATGCTGCTTCCAAGCTTCTGCATGGCTAAAGAAAACATCAGCAAAATGAAAAGGGAACCAACCTGATGGGAAAATATATTTGCAAATGATACCTTGGACAAGGGTTTGATCTTCGAAATATATAAAGAACTCACATGACTCCACTCCAGGAAGACAAACAACCCAATTAAAAAATGGGCAAAGGACCTGAACAGATACTTCTCCAAGGAGGACATACAGAGGGCCCAGGGACATATGAAAGAATGCTCAGCATCACTAGCCATGAGCGATGCAAATTAAAACCACAATGAGATACCACTTCACACTGGTCAGAATGGCCATCATAAACAAATCAACAAACAATAAGTGCTGGCCAGGTTGTGAAGAAAAGAGAACCCTAGTACACTGTTGGTGGGAATGCAGAGTGGTATAGCCACTGTGGAAAACAGTATGGAGTTTCCTCAGAAAACTAAAAATAGAACTGCCCTTTGACATGGCAATTCCACTGCTGGGATTATACCCTAAGAATCCTGAAACATCAATTCAAAAGAACATATGCACTCCAATGTTCATAGCATCACAATTTACAATAGCCAAGTGCTGAAAACAGCCTAAGTGCCTGTCAGTAAATGAGTGGATCAAAAACTATGGTACATTTACACAATGGAATACTACATAGCAGAAAGAAAGAAGGAGCTCCTACCCTTTGCAAGAGCATGGATAGATCTGGAGAACATTATGCTAAGTGAAATAAACCAGGTGGTGAAAAACAAATACCATATGATCTTGTGTATAAGTGGAACATAATCAACAAAACAAGTAAGCAAGCAAGCAAAATATAACCACAGACATTGAAATAAAGAACAGACAGTAACCAGAGGGGAGGAGGATGGGGAAAATAGAGGAAAAAAGGGGAAGGGTCATCAAGGAACATGTATAAAGGACACCTGGACAAAGCCAAAGGGGAGTAGTGGAGGGAAAATGGAGACAACTGTACCTGAACAACAATGAAGAAAAATGAAAAAAAATAAATGCTGCTTCCAAATAAATTGACAAAAAACTGGTCATACTTGCATACTAAGCATAATAAGCATAGCTTTTCTCATCAAACTCACAATAAAAAGATATTATTTATGCTATTATTTGATTTTTTTCTACTTGCCCATGCCAATTTTTAAAAAATTTTTTTGGTCAGAGGACACAGAATTTACACTGTTAGTATCTTTTGTGTTCTTAGGATACTACATGCACAGGATTAATAAATCAAAAGACAAGTTAATGTTTTCACTTTGGTAAAAAAAATTTTTCCTTGCCAATAGAAATACCATATGATAGAAAAATCTTAAGCATTTCTTGTCAAATAATTTAACATCTCTGTATTCCTTGCTCTTCACAACATTTTTCTACTTGTATACTGAGTTCTACCCAACTTAATTCACCAAATATAAGAGCTTATTATAGTCAAGGCACCATGTAGATGCTAAAATGCATAAAAGAAGTAGGACAGAGCCCTGATCCTCAAAGAAATTATCATTTGGTAGAGCAAATCTCCAAGTTATGAGCTTGATTTTATTAGAAAAATTTATTTCTAAATTGATCAAGATCTAGGAAGGCATTTTCCCCAGAGAAGCAATGTGCCTTGTGCTGATTAAATAATTTATCATGACTTGGAAAGGTCTCAGATTATACACTTAAAACAAAACATCCAAGCACATACAATGGGCTAAAGATAGTGCATTCAATAAATGATGTTGGGAAAATTGGACAAATCCATGCAGAAAAATTATACTAGATCACCTTCTTACACCACACACAAGGATAAATTCAAAATGGATTAAAGACTTAAATGTTAGACTGAAAACCATAAAAATCATAGAAGAAAACAGGCTACAAAATCTCAGACATTGCTTGTAGCAGTATTTTTTCAGATATTATCTCCCGAGGCAAGGGAAACAAAATTAAATATAAACAAATAGGACTATATCAAAGTAAAAAGGTTTTGCACTACGAAGGAAAACAGCAACAAAATAAAAACACTACCCACAGAATGGGAGAATATATTCATTGATACATCTGTTAAGGGGTTAATACCCAAAATTTATAGAGAACTTACACAACTTAGCACCTAAAGAGAAATAAACACTCCAATTAAAAAATGGTCTAAGGACCTGAATAGATACTTCATAGAGAGCATACAGGTAGCCAATAGATATATGAAAAGATGCTCAACATCACTAATCATCAGATAAATACAAATTCAGAATCACCAATAAATTAACAAACAAGTACCAGTGAGGATATGGAGAAAGGGAAACTCTTTTGAACCAGATTGCTGACTGGTGCAACCACTGTGGAAAGCTGTATGGAGATATCTCAAGAAATTAAAATGGATCTGCCTTTGTGCCCAGCAGTCACACTTCTGGGAATATATTTGAAGGAAACCAAAACATTAATTCAAAAGATCATAAGCATCCCTATGTTTACTGCAGCGTTATTTACAATCACTGAGATATGGAAGCAGCCCAAGTGTCCAGTAGTAGATGAGTGGATAAAACAATGATGGGACATTTACACAATGGAATACTATTCCACCTTAAAAAAAGAAAATTTTACCCTTTGTAACAATATGGATACACCTGGTGAACCTTATGTAAGTGAAACCAGCCAGTCAAAGACAAAGACAAATACCATATGATGTCACTCATATGTGGAATCCAATGAACAAACTGAACTAACAAGCAAAATAGGGATAGCTTCATAGAGAGCAGGATGACAGCTAAGGGGTAGGGGAGGTTAGGGGGTAGACCAGGGGTGTCAAACTCATTTTCACTGGGGCCACATTAGCCTTGCAGTTGTCTTCAAAGGGCCAAATGTAATTTTAGGACTGTATAAATTTAACTATTCCTTAATAGTTAAGTGAGAGCTCGGTGCTGATGCCGGGTAGAAGAAACAAGGTGCTGAGCCAGATAAAACAAGGTGGAGGGCCAGATTTGGCCCGCAGGCCTTGTGTTTGCCACCTGTAGGGTAAAGGGATTGAGCAAAAAGGAAAAAGGACTCATGGATATGGACAATACTGTGGTGATTATGGGGTGGGGAGAAGGGTATGAGGGGACTAAATGGCAATGGAAAACACACAATAAAAATTTGACATTTTGCTGGGAAATAAAACATCCTTCAATACTGTACAGGCTGTACTGACCATGAAAAATCTTACCTCCTCTGTTTTATAATTAGCACTCGGATCATACTGGTTAAAGCTATTCTCTTTGTAAAATGAGTTTTCAACATCACTGTATACACATTCGTTACACAAGAAGCTTTCAGGTTGATTAGGGTTGAGGGCAGAGTCCTCGGCAGTATTTTTAGCCAGAGACATGTCCATGAATTTCAGTGTCTCTCTACTGCAGTGGATTCCAGGAGGACTTCTAGGAGGTTGCCTGACACATTCAGGAGCAAGTTGGTCTTCATTGGTGGAAGTGGTAGTTTCCACTGAATTTTCTTCCTTAAATGAATCTTCCTTTATATTGTTGTCTTTTGCATAATTATATACATGACTTTGCATTTCTGATTTTTCTGTGTAAGGAATGTCACCTGTCAGATTTTGAAATGTTATCATTTCATCATTAAATGTTTTTGTCTGATGAAATTTGCAAATGGGTTCACATTGTCTGAAGGAAGAAATGCTGGTGTCAATGGGCCCCGTTAGCACATCCTGTGAATAATTTCCATTGTTGACATCTTGTTATAAAGAGACAGAAGAAAATAAGAATTAGCTGACCATAAGTTTATGTGTTAACAGTTACATTAACATTTATGAAATAAAGTTTTTGAGCCTTTTAAGAATTATATATATTTCAACCTTTAGCACTGGGTGGATTTTAGCATGGCTTTGTGCTAACAAACAAAACAACTTTTTTACATAGGAGAAAGAAGTTCTCAAATGACTGCTTCAAAAAGTTTGTTACATATTATTCCAGTCAAATACTGGTACAACAAAGTTCAAGATATCATCAAAATTCTTTTGTTGTACTGTAATTTTAAAATGTTTTAATTATAAAATGTTTCAAAAGAATACAAAAGCACAGTGAATAGTATACAGCAAACATACATACCCTTATTTAATCTCACAACAATCCCATGTGGGTACTATCATTATCTTTGTTTTACAGATAAGGAAACAGACAAAAGAGATGTTAAATCACTTGCCTAATATCACAAAGCTGGTAAGATTCTGGGATACTACTTCTAAATGGTATGCTATATACAGTTTCTCAATGTGACAAACTACCCAGATTTAATATTTTTAAAAACCAGAAGCAAATAAGGCAAAAGAGAAATAGTGCTGCAAAATTGATTAATGATCCCTCCCTTCTACCTAAATTTCTTCCTTTTTCCTTCCCCAGAGATAACCACTATTGCTGAAATTAGTGTGTATTCATTCTTCCCATCCATATTTTCTTTTGCTAGTCACTTATATACTCTAGATAACATATATCAAGTTCCCAGACTTTCTCATTCTGTGACACCTTAACATCTCAGTAGTTTTTTCACAGAACCCCTACACCTAACAGTTCCATTTGTTAAGTAGTTAAGTTCAAACAGCTTAACAATTATTTGTCCTACCAATTTAATAGCTGTTTCAAAATACACATAAACTGAAAGAAAAATATTTTATTTTGTTCTTAAACAACCAAACTCATTACTTGATTGTACAGATTGGACAAAGCCAACCCTCAGTTTCTATTTCACCTTGATTTTCATGCAATACTTGCTTCTTATTACAGCAATCTCCAAAACCACAGCTTTGTAAATAAGATGTTCACAGAAAGGATTGTAGTGTAGTTTTACAGTCAAACCTCAGTTCTCGAATGTCTCCCATCTTGAACAATTTGGTTCTCACCCAGGTTGTTGAATAAAACTTTGGTTCTCAACCTGACAACCCTTTCATGCTGACACCTGTATGATCAGTTACACATCTCTCAGGTGTGATTCAGTTTTCAAACAAATCGTTTTTCAAATAGCCTTCCAGAATGAATTAAGTTTGAGGACTGAGGTGACACTGTACATTGAAATAGTGAGCTATCTCATGCTAGTAATTTGTGGTGTTCAAGAAATGTTTAGGACCACTGTTTCCTTCAAATTTCAAAATATCCTGCAGGACACTGTGCAAACTGTGGTTATACAGTATTGTTTTGTTTTAAAATTTTATGTAAAAAGCATCATTATACATATACACATATGCACATATGTATAACTTTATCTATTTGTTTAATCTATACATAGAACATAAAAAGATCTTAATTTCTTTGTATATTGCCAATAAAGACATACTCACCGCCTAACAAATCATCTAGTGTGCTATAAATTTCTTCAGAAAGTGTGAGTTTAGGCTCATTTTCCCTTTTTACAGTCTTTATTTCATTCTGTATTAATAATAAAAAAGCATCAATATTAATACTTCAAACATCATAAGCCTCTTCTAAAGGTATTTGTACATTGCTATGTAATTTTTGTCATAATTTTTTCTTGCTCAGGTAGAATGTGGTCTCTAGTATCTTTCCCTACTGCATATTTGAGCTCTCTTTTAGTAAAATCATGTTAATAAAGTCATAATATTTAACTTGAGAGTTAAAGAAGTATCTTGCTATTTTAATACTTTGGGGTTTTTTTTTTTTTGGTAAGTCAAATTGTATTCCTATAAATATAGGAGTATATGATAACCTATATATCTCTTACTGATAATTCCTTGATGTTAATTAAATATGGTCTATTCAAGTTTTTAACCACTGGATATACAAAATAGGGATATGGTAATGAGGTAAAATCTGAATCCAGAAAATAGAAAGCTATAAAAATTCATCTAGGGCTTATTCTCAAAGTTACCTTAATGTTATCTAAGATGAGAGGATTTATTACATAAATTAACAGTATAAATAAAATAGTAAGAAAAATATTTTAAATGTTTAAGGAAAACATTGATTCAATCATGAACAGTATATCAAGTATGTGGAAGCAAATGATGCTCTAAAAAAGTACTTATCTCTTATTAAAGTCAGCTGGTTACAAATCTCTATTAAATATGCTTTTCATAGCATTGTTCCACTTTCTGAATATCTCTCAAGTATAATAAAAACTGAGTTATATTTTATAACTATATGTTATTTGGACTTACTGCTAATTTAGACCATTTCTCCTAACTAGATTTTTAAAGTATCAGGAATAATGTACTAAAAAATAAAATAGCACTACTCACATGTATTGATATTATATTCACACAGACTTCTTGGGACTCCACTGCTCATTGAATTTCAGAGATCACTTGTAACTCTTGTCTTACATGGTATTACCATTTTTAGCTAAAATTAGCCTTTTGTTCCTCTGATCTATATAGTACTTTCTATAATGAAATCCAAAAGGGAGGACCTCCTTACTTACATAATTCAAGACAATTCAGTACATAGTAACGTGGGTCCTGATTAGCACCATATTATGACCAAATATTTTCTTAAATGAAAAGAGACCAGATGTCAGGCTCCTTGTGTTCTTGTCCTTACTCTGTGTCTGAGTTTTGCAGCATGTCTTCTGGCTATACTCATGGGACTTCATTAAGAGGCTAGAAAGGATCAGTTTTAACACTCTATTTGTAAATTCTATCTTTCTTGAAAACTATTTCTACTATTTCTCTTTTCTAGGCCTCCACTGGACATTTCTTTATTGTTCCTTGTATTTTTTAAGACATTTTCATATGGAACACAATGTGAATGCTAAATACATCTGTACCTCCCATTACTTATAAGCAATGCACACCTGAGGCAAGACTGCAGTAGTACTGCTGGTTTTCATATGGAAGGGAGAGTTTGTGTGTGTTGAATCTTGAAAAAGACTGCTGAAATTCATGGCATCCGCTTCTGACATGCTTTCTAATCTTTCATGAGAATCATCCACTTCAAAATATACAGGATCTGAAGATGATGACCAAACTTTTTGATAATTCTTGTTCTTAACTGTTGAATGATGGAAGGCTTTTAAAAAACACATAATTTTAAGGTCTATTAATATATGCAAACAAAAAGCTTTTCCCCCATCCCTCTGCATATTAAGAAAACAGGAAAGTTTATTGTTCTAACTTTAAGATTTCACTTGTCAAGTTATTGGAAAAATAAAAAAATTTTGTCTGAATACACCAAGTTAACTTTGTATGGTAGTAAATACTAATTTGGACAAAAGCAAATCAGTTGTGTGGCTACTATCCAATAATTACATAAAAGCCTTGGGACCCAGAAGGTGAAGGGATCTCTAAGTTATTTAATCAAAAGACATTCACAAAATATCATCAGAGACCTATAAAGTTCCACCAAACACTGTATTTCTATTTACTTAGTATGTGCTATTTGCGTATCTCTTTATCAACTCAAATCCAAGATTGTAAATGAATTTTCCCTCACTTCTGTATGCCACACTTATTCTCTCAGGCAGTTAGAGTTTCAAAGTTTGGCATCCTTCTACCTCATTGTCCCCGCGCTATTCAGTTACCAAGTCCTGTCCATTTACCGTTTAAAAACAATTTTCATTAAGTCATGCTTTCTTTCCATCCCTTAAGTCTTCACATTGGTCCATGTTCTTGTGATTCCTCAAGTCTATTAGGGGATGAGGATGGAAAGGATGTCCAATCACAATGACTGAAAATTCTTCTGCTTGACTTCCTAGGTTTTATAAAGCCTGAACCCATATTACCTAGCCAATATTCCTCTGCTCTGGCAAAGTCAGGCTCACTTCCCTGTAAATAGGTCTTGTTCCTTCCCACTTCATTTGTCCTGGCAAGTGCTTCTCTCTTCTAAAACCTTCCTACTACCCACTCACCTATTTTTTAAAATTCCTACAAGGTCTTTAGTCTAAATCTGTCCCACAATTTGGTACCTGTTCGTTTTACTGTTTTAGTCATAACCTTTATTTCAAGGACTATACAGATTATAAATACTTGGAGAGGAGTCCATTTACATTTTTCAATACCCCTCTACAGCAAAAAACTCCACCGGTGTTGGCCAAAGCAAATTTTAATAAATCCTGCATTCTAATTATTTATTTCTATTAAACTTTCTCAATCTACAATTACTACCAAATTGCCTGAATTATTTTATTGAGTTAACAAATAATTTATTGAGGATTATGTTTCTTCAAACGTATGTCATCCTTTGGTTAAGTATAAAAAAAGCCACTGAGCCTAGCAGGCTAGTAAGGGTTGGTGAATGGTTCAACTTTATGCTCAAATTTTCCCCTTTTTCCAAATACATAAATGCTACCTATGTTGTGGTGAATATAATTTGAAAACCTTGTTTTTGTTTTCCAAATGAAAATAAAAAAACCCGGAAAGGGCCTTATTTCTTAAACCTGTGAACCCAGAACTTCCTATTAAACTTTTACAACTTCGCATAGCACAATCAGCCAATTTAAGTTAGGCTTACTTTTTTCCATCTTTCATTCTGACTTTACCAGATGTTAGACTTTTAAAATATTTATTCAAATGTTCCATAGATATTCCAGAGACACTCAAAACCTGTTTTAAGATGGGCATTAAAAAAAAAGTTACTGGATCTCGCGGGAGAAGACAAAGGGGACGGCCGCCGGTGCTTCTGCCCTCGCGTTCCACACCCTCGCTCGGCCCTACAGCGGCTCCAGAGACCTCGCTGCGCGGGGTTTGTCGTTGGGGGCTGGGGGCAGAATCCGTACGAAATAATCAGTGAGTTATGCAGAAAAAAAAAGAGGCGTCACTGGAGTTACTGGTCAAAACTCTAAGGTTTTGTTTTTAAGTTATTTTCAGCCGTATGACAAAGTTTCTAAACACAACTCATTTTCACCTCAAAACAATGCACTAAACGCTTTAAATCGTAAAAGCGTGCTCACTTCCAGAGTCCATGCCGTTTCTTGCATCCACAATAAGGATTTCTGCTCCCACCCCCTCGCACCAGGTGTTGCGGGAGGGAAAAAAGTTTTCGAGGTTACCAGCGGATGGCTGTTAAGAAGTCGCAGAGGGGATGTGGGCGCTCCAGACCGTTCCTGTGACGTACGCCCATACACCCGCCCACGCCAGCCAATCTCGGCGGGGAAACGACGCAAGCCAGGCTTTCGCGCACCCAGCGGGCTCTGCCTGGGGGGCTTCGAAGTCTGTCACCATCGTTGAGAATGGCGGGCGTGAGCTCCCAAGCCGAAGAAACTGTGGGCTGGCAGGCACGTCTTTATACGGGAGGGACATACAAAGCAGGGCGCAGAAACTGAATTCTCTGGGTGATATGGTGGGCACCGGCTCAGCGACGGAAGTGATTCAAGTTCACCTCACACATCGATGTGTCCCTCTGGCGCACCGTCCACCGCAAACTTCAGCTGAGGTAGGGCGGAACTTCCGGTAGAATGAGATTTCCGGTGGGGTGAGATTTCCGGTCGAGAAGGGGCGGCTGTACCTAGGCTGTAGGTTTTAGTTCCGTAAAGCACGTGGCGCGCGTATTTGGCACAAGGACTCAAGAACAGACTCAAGTGCGAGGCGGACATCCGTGGAAAGGCCTTGAAGTTGAACTCACACTCTGTGGTTCCTGGCCCAGCTCCGGCTGAGGGGCTTCCGGTGGCGCTAAAGCTCTGCGCGTTCAGTAATGGACTACCGGCGGCTGCTGATGAGTCGGGTAGTGCCCGGGCAGTTCGACGACGCGGACTCCTCCGACAGGTAGAAGGCGATTAAGTACACCTACTCCCGTTGGGATTTTACTCTCTGCCGCTTCCTCCTTTGGGGGAGTTAACACTGGTTTAGAGGGAGACTGGTAGTTAATCACTCTGGAGCTCTCTTCAAGGCCTTTTGCGTCTTTCTCCATCCCAGCCGTGATTTTCGTTCCAGTTCACGGCAGTTATTTATTGAAAGCCACTTGTCAAGGAGGTGCAGGGTTTCCAGGTTGGTTAGCATTGCTGAGATGCCAAGTTGGGATTAGCGATTGGGAAACATAGGTTTTTGCGCTTTAACTACATTCAGTGTTCAAAAGCACGTGAGCGTCTAATATATACCAGATTTTGTCCTTAGCGTTGGAGATAGCGATGAACCAGACAAATTAAGTCCCTGTCATTGAATTTTTACCTTCTACTTGAGGAGGGCAGAGTAGTACAGAGAAGTATTGAAAACAACAACAACAGACAATGATGTATGCTATGGAAATAATTTAAATCGGTTGATAGACCAAGTTGTGATTTGGTCAGGAGGTGGTAAATCCAAAAATGTACGACAAAAATGAGCTAAACTCAGGAAGAGGCAAGAACAGCCATTCAGGAAGAGGATACAGCAAGTACAAAGTATCCACGGTGGGATCCCTCTTGGCTGTGAAAGGAGTATCTAGTGGGCTAGAGCAGAGGTAGTTGAGAAGATAGATGATAGGTAACGATATAGAAGTGAGAAGGGGCCAGCTCATGCAGAGCCTTAAAAGTGGTGGTGAGGAATTGAGATATTCGAGGTCTTGGAGAAAGTCATAGGGAGATTTTAGCAGAGGAATGACATGATCTGATTTATTACTTAATGGAATCACTCTGCTATGGAGAGGATGGTTTTGGAAGGCAGAGTGGAAGCAATACAAAAAGTAATTCAGTTCATAGATGATGTACATTAGAGATAGGATCATAGAGATATGTTCTGGAGGTAGAAGTGGCAATTTAGTGGTAGATTGGATGTGAGACATGAGGCAAAAGGAATTAAGGATAACATGTAAAAGAAAAACGAAACATTTATTTTAGAATTAAAAAAAAATCTTTATGTTTACAGTAAGGTTTCATTGTAAATAAATTTTATTAATTGTAGATTTTTCAGTAAATATATGTTGATTGCTTTCCATGTGTCAGATCTAGTGTTGGTAAGGACACATTAGTAAACACCACTCTGACAAAGAGCTTGTACTCTAGCAGGGTGAACATATTAAATAATTAGACAAATGATTTGTATTATAATTGGGTCAGTAGTACAAAGGAGAAATGGGTGAAGAATAGGGAAAACTTACCTGAGCAAGTGATAGTAAGCTAATACTGGAAGGATAAGTAGGATTTAGCCAGAGAAATGAGAACATTCCATATTTATGTTTACACATGAGCATACAAAAGGCCTTAGGCAAGACGTTAAGGGGAAAGAAGAAACACAACTAGTGAGGCTGTTAAATAATTAGTGATAATAAGTGTGAACTGGTTTACCATCCATCACTGGAAGTTGTAAAGATAAACCAGTTGATTTTGTACCACCCCACACCCCCCACACCTCCCATGACTTTAGGCAGTTTCTGGAGACATTTTTGTCACCACTAAGAATGGGGCTGCACTAAATGGCATCTGGTAGGTGGAGGCCAGAGATACTGCTAAAAATCCTACAAGGCACAAGACAGCCTCCTACAACAAAGAATTGTCCAGCTGAGGTTGAGAAGCCCCAGTGTTAATGAAGGTATAAATTTAACATGACACTCTAGGTTGCTAGCAAATGAAGGATCAATTTATGGATTATGTTTATGAAATCCTAATAGTAGCTATTTAATGATTATTCCATGGAGATTTGAAGCCCTGTAAACTGTAGCTAATAAGTTAAGATTGATAATCTTGATAATCTGAATTTACTTAAACTCACATCTTAGTTTTTAAGCTGGTAGTGTGTATTAGCAATTGTTTTATATGATTTTTGTCCTTGTTCTCTACGTGAGATGTTAAAACTGGTAGTATCTCTGTTGAATCTGACTACCAGACATGTTTTATTAGGTATACACAGTGTTTTGTTAAAATTGAATATGCCAGTTAAGTGGGAGATTTTACACAAAAATCCATATTCCTGGCTTCTCTTGAAAAACTAAGAAGATACAGTAACTAACACTGGGTCTGAATTCTTACATGGCAAAAACACCCTATTGTGTTTTCTCTGCTTTGGGCCTATTGTTTGGGTTTGACAATCCCTTCATCAGTTTAGTTATAGCCAGCCTACTTTCTCATTTGTGGTGCTTGTATTCACCATTTCTTCCCTTAATGAACAAAGGGGATTTGAAGTTCTTTGTATAACAGGAATTTTGAATACAGCTTCATATGTTGCCAAGTGGTATTGAGTTCAAAGTCAAGCTGGTTCAGACTTATTTTCAAGTTTTGTCAGAAAGGTTTATTCTTTATTTTATTTTTTTTACCCACTCTTTAAGCAGTTCTGTAAGTAGTTTTGTAGTAAGGTCTGGAGTACTGATCAAAGCCAGTTCATTCAACAGAAAAGATAGCAATATAGATTCTAACTTAAGGCATAGGTGCATCAGGAACACCTGATGTACTTCTTTAGTATGACCTTGAGAATAAGCAAACAACCTGAATGGATCTCTGAATAAACAGGAAAACTTCGTGTTAAGATTGACTTATTGACAGATACATTGTAAGGGAACCTTTTAGGTATAATTTATCATATTGTAAATAAATGTAATCAGTTGGACTTACATATGTGTTATATTGAAAAATAAATACATATGTAAGTCCAGTTAGAATATCTGTAAACATGATAAAACATTGTTATTTCTAGTGAAAACATTAACTGGAAGATAAGGAAAGAAGAAGATGACTTTCTGTGTGAAGACTTTCAAAATAATGTGAATGAAAGGATGGATGAAGGTGAGATAGAAGATGAAGAGGAGGAGGATTATGATGATGACGATGATTGGGATTGGGATGATGGAATTGGAAAACTCACCAAGGGTTGTATCTCAAATGGAGGGAGTAACCCACAGGTATTGTAAATGATTCTATACTTTTTTATGCTGTTTGCTTATATCTTCTTATTTTAATTTTTGAGAGTCTACAGTTCTTTTTTATTGAATTTATTGGGGTGTCATTGGTAATAAAGTTACATAGGTTTTTTTAAATTACATTTTATTGACTAGGCTATTACAGTTGTCCCAGTGTTTCCCCCTTTGCCCCCTCCACTTAGCACCTGCCCCCACCTCAGGCACTTCCCCCCACCATTGTTCATGTCCGTGGAAAGTTATATAGGCTTTAGGCATATAGTTCTATAATACATCATCTGTATATTGTATTGTTCACCAACCCAAGTCACATCTCCTTACATCACCAGTTACCTCCCCTTTGCCCTCTTTTACCTCCCCTCTGCCCCTCTTTTCCTCTGGCAATCATCATAGTGCTGTCTGAGTCTATGACCTTTTTTTTTAATATATTTTATTGATTATGCTATTACAGTTGTCCCATTTCCCCCTTCACTCCCCTCCACCCTGTACACCCTCTCCCACCCACATTCCCCCCTTTAGTTCATGTCCATGTGTCATACTTAGAAGTTCTTCAGCTTCTACATTTCTCATACTGTTCTTACCCTCCCCCTATTTTCTACCTACAATCTATGCTACTTATTCTCTGTACCTTTTCCCCCTCTCTCCTCCTTCCACTCCCCTGTTGCTAACCCTCCATGTGATCTCCATTTCTGTGGTTCTGTTCCCGTTCTACTTGTTTGCTTCGTTTCTTTTGGTTTTGCTTTAGGTGTGGTTGTTAATAATTGTGAGTTTGCTGTCCTTTTACTATACATGTTTTTTTTTATCTTCTTTTCTTAGATAAGTCCCTTTAACATTTTATAAAATATGGGCTTGGTGATGATGAACTCCTTTAACTTGACCTTATCTGAGAAGCACTTTATCTGCCCTTCCATTCTAAATGAAAGCTTTGCTGGATAGAGTAATCTGGGATATAGGTCCTTGTCTTTCATGACTTCTTCTTTCCAGCCCCTTCTTGCCTGTAAGGTCTCTTTTGAGAAATCAGCTAAGAGTCTTGTGGGAACTCCTTTGTAGGTTACTGTCCCCTTATCTCTTGCTGCTTCTAGGATTCTCTCCTTCATTTTTACCTTGGCTAATGTAATTATGATGTGCCTTGGTATGTTTCTTCTTGGGTCCAACTTCTTTGGGACTCTCTGAGCTTCCTGGACTTCCTGGAATCTATTTCCTTTGCCAGAATGGGGAAGTTCTCCTTTATTATTTGTTCAAATAAGTTTTCCACTTGTTGCTCTTCCTCTTCCCCTTCTGGTACCCCTATAATTCAGATGTTGGAACGTTTATAGATGTCCTGGAGGTTCCTAAGCTTCTCCTCATTTTTTTTGAATTCTTATTTCTCCATTCTTTCCTGTGTGGTTGTTTCTTTCTTCCTTCTGGTCTACTCTATTGTTTTGAGTTTCCTTCCCATCACTATTGGTTCCCTGTGCATTTTCCTTCATTTCTTTTATGGTAACCTGCATTTGTTCATCTAATTTACAACCAAAATTAACCAATTCTGTGAGCTTCCTGATCACCAGTGTTTTGAACTGTGCATCTGATAGGTTGGCTATTTCTTGGTTGCTTAAAAGGATGAGTTCTGGGGCATTGATTTGTCCTTCTATTTGAGCCATCTCTCTCTCTCTCTCTCTCTTTTTTTTTTTTTTGGTCTGGTCGCTCCTGTTATGGTGAGGGGCGGAGCCTTATGTGTTCACCAGGGCTGGGCACCCCAGTCGCTAGATTGTGACGCTGTATGTGAGGGTGGGGTCAAGAGGGAACATTGGTGGTTGCTCTGTTCTCCATGGGACCTCAGTCCCTTCCTTGGGATCCTGGGTTGTGCGCTCTGCCCTGCTCCACAATTGCCGCCTCACTGGGTCTGCTAGCTGCTGCTTGCATATTCAGGGTCCACCTGCTGCAATCTTGCACGCCCCAGATGCCTTATGTGCCTAATTCTCCCTGTTCTCCGCACCTCAGCCCACTCCTGGCTGCTCCTCTCTGCCCCTCCTATCAGTTTGGATGAACGGGTCTATTTCAACTTCTTGCCTGTCCGACTTCCATTCAGATAAACTTTCTGTTAGTTCTGGATTTTATTCTGCCACTAAATTGTTGTTGTTCCAATCTTGGTTGTGCGTGGAGGTACAGTGTATCCACCTATGCCTCCATCTTGGCCAGAAGTCCAGCTGGCTTATTTCACTTAGCAGAATACTCTTCGGGTCCATCCATATGGTCACAAAAGGTAAGATTTCCTTCTTTTTTACTGCTGAATAGCATTCACTTGTGCTTTTTTAATCACTCATTTACTGATGGGCACTGGGGTTGCTTCCAAATCTTGGCTATTATAAATAACATTGCCGTGAACACAGGTATGCATATATACTTTCAAATTAGTATTTCAGTTTTCTTTGGATATATTGCCAGAAGTGGAATCACTGAGTCATAAGGCAGTTCCATTTTTTACTTTTTTGAGGAAACGTCATACTGTTTTTCACCGTGGCTGCACCAATCTGCATTTCTACCAACAGTGCACGAAGATCCCCTTTTCTCCACCTCCTTGCCAGCACTTATTGTTTGTTGATTTATTGATGATAGCCATTCTGACAGGTGTAGAGTGATATCTCATTGTGGTTTTAATTTGTACTTCTCTGATGATTAGTGACATTAAGCATCTTTTCATATATCTATTGGCATCTGTATGTCCTCTTTGGAGAAGTGTCTGTTCAGGTTCTTGGCCCATTTTTAATTGGATTGTTTGTTTTTTGATGTTGAGTTTCATAAGTTCTTTATAAATTTTGGATATAGCCCTTACAGATGATTTTCTTTGCCGTGCAAAAACCTTTTAGTTTGGCGTACTCCTATTTGTTTATTTTTTTCTTTTGTTTCCCTTGCCCAAGGAGATATATTAGAAAAAATGTTGTTGCTAAAAGAAATGTGAGAGACTTTACTAGGCAGTAAAGTTTTCTTTTACTAGGCAGTATTTTCTTTTAAGACTAATGATTTCAAGTGTTATATTTAAGTCTATCCATTTTGAGTTTGTTCTTATGTATGATGTAAGAAGCTGGTCTAGTTTCATTTTTTTGCACATGTTGGTCTAATTTTCCTAACACCATTTATTGAATAGACTGTCTTTACCCCATTGTATGTTCTTGTGTACTTTGTCAAATATTAATTGACCATAAAGGTATGGGTTGATTTCTGGTATCTCTATTCCAGGAGTCCCCAACCCCTGGGCCCCAGCAGTCCCTGGTGTGTTAAGAACCAAGCCGCACAGGAAGACGTGAGTGGCAGTGAGTGAAACTTCACTGGCATTACTGCCTGAGCTCCACCTCCTGGCCCCCCTCCCCCCAAGTCTGTGGAAGAATTGAAAATTCTCTTCCATGAAACCAGTCCCTAGTGCCATTCTGTTCCATTGATCTATAGGTCTGTTTTTAGGTCAGTATCATGCTGTTTTGATTACTGTGGCCTTGTGTAGTGTGATAACAGGTAGCGTGATCCCTCTAACTTTGTTCTTCTTTCTCCAGATGGCTATTCAGGCTCTTTTGTGCTTTCATATAAATTTTGGAATATTTGTTGTAGTTCTGTGAAATATGCCATTGGTATTTTCATAGGAATTTTATTGAGTCTGTAGATTGCTTTGGGTAGTATGAGCATTTTAATGATGTTAATTCTTCCTGTGCATGAACACAGTATATGGTTTCACTTAATTACCTTCTATGGTTTCTTTCTTCAGTGTCTTATAATTTCCCAAGTATAGGTCTTTTACTTCTTTGGTTAAATTGATTCCAAGGTATTTTATTTGAAAATTTTTATGCAATTGTAAATGAGATTGTTTTCTTAGTTTCCCTTTCTGGTAGTTCATTATTGGTGTATGAAAATGCAATTAATTTCTGGATATTTATTTTGTATGCTGTTACTGAATTCATTTATCAGTTCTAGTAGTGTTTTGGTTGAATCTCTAGGGTTCTGTACATATATTATCATGTCATCTGCAAATAATGACAGTTTTACTTATTCCTTTCCAATTTGGATGCCTTTCCTTTTTCTTGTCTGATTGCTGTGACTTCTAGTACTATGTTGAATAAGAGTGGTGAAAGCAGACATTCCTCTCTTGATCCCAACTGAGCTACTCAGCCAGGGCTGATTTCAATCTTCTTATATTTATTGAGACTTGTTTTGTGTTCTAACATGTTCTATCCTAGAAAATGTTCCATGTACACTTAAAAAGGATGTATATTCTACTGCTTTGGGGGGTGAAATGTTTTCAATATATCAATTAAATCCATCTGATCTTGTGTGTCATTTAAGACTGCCGTTTTCCTTGCTGATTTTCTGTCTGGAAGGTCTATCCATTGATGTCAGTGGGATGTTAAAATCCTGTACTGTGCCTGTATTACTGTTGATTTCTCCCTTTATGTCCATCAATAATTGATTTATGTATTTAGGTGCTTCTTTGTTGAGTGCATAAATGTTAACAAAGGTTATATTCTCTTGTTCCCTTTATCATTATGTAGTGTCCTTCTTTGTCTCTTACTATATAGCCTTTGCTTTAAAGTTTATTTTGTCATAAGTATTGCTACCCCAGCTTTTTTTATTTGCGTTAGTATGATATATCTTTTTTTATTTCTTTATTTTTGGTCTGTGTGTATCTTTCATATGAAGGTGGTTCTCTTGTGGACTGTAGGTATGTGGATCTTGTTTTCTTATTGACTCAGCTACCCTGTGTCTTTTGATTGGAGCATTTAAGCTATTTACATTTAAAGTGATTATTGATAAGTACATATTTATTGCTATTTTATTATTTTAACTATGTTCCTCTTTTTTTTGTTTGTTTGTTTGTTTGTTTATTTTCTTAACCCTGCAGAGGTCATGGTCAAAAAGGTTACAGTGTAGGTCGCATGTATCTGAGCGATAAATTCATTATTAGTGTGTTCTGAAATGTGAAAAAAAAATTTAAAAACTGCAAATTTGCATTTCTTTTATTA